ATTATTATTATGATTATTATTATGATTATTATTATGATTATTATTATGATTATTATTATGATTATTATTATGATTATTATTATGATTATTATTATGATTATTATTATGATTATTATTATGATTATTATTATGATTATTATTATGATTATTATTATGATTATTATTATGATTATTATTATGATTATTATTATGATTATTATTATGATTATTATTATGATTATTATTATGATTATTATTATGATTATTATTATGATTATTATTATGATTATTATTATGATTATTATTATGATTATTATTATGATTATTATTATGATTATTATTATGATTATTATTATGATTATTATTATGATTATTATTATGATTATTATTATGATTATTATTATGATTATTATTATGATTATTATTATGATTATTATTATGATTATTATTATGATTATTATTATGATTATTATTATGATTATTATTATGATTATTATTATGATTATTATTATGATTATTATTATGATTATTATTATGATTATTATTATGATTATTATTATGATTATTATTATGATTATTATTATGATTATTATTATGATTATTATTATGATTATTATTATGATTATTATTATGATTATTATTATGATTATTATTATGATTATTATTATGATTATTATTATGATTATTATTATGATTATTATTATGATTATTATTATGATTATTATTATGATTATTATTATGATTATTATTATGATTATTATTATGATTATTATTATGATTATTATTATGATTATTATTATGATTATTATTATGATTATTATTATGATTATTATTATGATTATTATTATGATTATTATTATGATTATTATTATGATTATTATTATGATTATTATTATGATTATTATTATGATTATTATTATGATTATTATTATGATTATTATTATGATTATTATTATGATTATTATTATGATTATTATTATGATTATTATTATGATTATTATTATGATTATTATTATGATTATTATTATGATTATTATTATGATTATTATTATGATTATTATTATGATTATTATTATGATTATTATTATGATTATTATTATGATTATTATTATGATTATTATTATGATTATTATTATGATTATTATTATGATTATTATTATGATTATTATTATGATTATTATTATGATTATTATTATGATTATTATTATGATTATTATTATGATTATTATTATGATTATTATTATGATTATTATTATGATTATTATTATGATTATTATTATGATTATTATTATGATTATTATTATGATTATTATTATGATTATTATTATGATTATTATTATGATTATTATTATTATGATTATTATGATTATTATTATGATTATTATTATGATTATTATTATGATTATGATTAGGATTATGATTACTATTACGATTATGATTACGATTATGACTACGATTATGATTACGATTATGATTACGATTAAGATTACGATTAAGATTACGATTATGATTACGATTATGATTACGATTATGATTACGATTTTCATTACGATTTTCATTACGATTTTCATTACGATTTTCATTACGATTATCATTACGATTTTCATTACGATTTTCATTACGATTATCATTACTATTATCATTACTATTATCATTACTGTTATCGTTACTATTATCATTACTATTATCATTACTATTATCGTTACTATTATCATTACTATTATTATTAGTATTATTATTATTATTATGAGTTAGGATCTTTGAGCAATTTGAGGATATGTTTTTAGATAAATATTGGAATGTCGAAATCCAGAGAGAGACCCATGATAAATTAAAATTTGGAAGGTGGGAAACAAATTGAGGCTCGCGAGTAGTTTATTTCAAATCGCTTGTGAAGGAAGCTAAATATCTTTCAACATCTTTTACCGAAAATAAGTTAATGGAACTTTTAGTTCATCATTTTCCGATACCTAACCAATTATTATTAAAAGCATCGCGTAGCCTTGAAGAGTTTGAAAGATAATTACAATGGATTGATAACACTAACGGGCGCTTAGAACAAACAAAATTTTATCGCAAATTCACAGCAAGAGCCACTGCAGTTTAGACAAAGAGCTAATGAGAGATAACCACCGCGTTCGGTAGGAATGAATGCTAATTCTCGAAATTTTACACAAGGTAACCCGAGTAGTACAGGTCCGGCCCGGGAACATTTTATGAGCAGATCACATATGAACCAAAATTCAGTAGCGGAGATTTCCGTAATAAATAATCGCACTGGAAACGATGAGAGACCAGGCGGGGTTGAGGGGGTCGTTTTGACTTCTTCTTTATTTAATTCAGATCCATCAGAACTTTTAGAAGAGGACCTTGTGGTTTCAAAGGCTACTCGGAAGTGTCCCACAGCGCAAGTCGAAGTAGAAAATATTTCAACAAACGTTTTAGTCAATACGGGTTGTGAATTATCATGTATTTCACAGGAGTTTCTAAATAAAATTCAGGAGGTAAATAAATCAATTCCCATGTTACCTGTCAGTGGCATTACGTTAGTTGGAGCGCTTAAAGGGCGTAATCAAAAAGTTTCACGACAAGTTTATTTGAAATTTAATTGTCAGTTAATAGTATTTGTGGGGGTGTTTATTGTAGTCCCTTCACTTAATAGAGATTTAATTTTGGGAATAGATTGGTTGATCGATAATGACATTATACTTATTCCTAGTCGACGAGTAATGAGTTACACTCTAAAAGGGTGTCATACCGTTGAAATAAAATGTAATTCAGAGGTAATATTGGAAGAGAGTTTACTAGTTAGGGAAATTAAGATTGACGGTTCAGAGCAGTCTTCCGTAGAAGTTTCTAGTAATAAAGATGCAGATCTATTAGAAAAATTCAGGTCTGTGGTGTCACTTTCAGAAACATTTGATGTTGATAAAAAAAAAGGTTTTTTAACTTATTATCTGAATACCAGCATATATTTTTAGATAAACCCGGTTTGATTCAGGGTTATGAACACCAAATCATTTTGAAAGATAGTACTCCGTATTATTTTAAGTCGTTTCCTATTCCTCATGCATATAAGGAACAAGTCAAGGAACAACTTAAACAAATGGTTGAATGGAATGTCATTGAAAAAAGTCCGACAGAATATATAAATCCTTTGGTTCTTGTAAAGAAAAAGGGAACTTCTGATGTTCGAATTTGTGAAGATGCTCGTCATTTAAATAAACGCATGGAGAATGATCACGTCATTCCCCCAAATCCGAATGAATTTTGGTATAAATTTTCAAAAGATCAGGTGTTATCTACTGTTGATCTGTCGTCATTTTATTGGCAGATTCCTCTTCGGTTGGAGGATAGGAAATATACAGGGTTTGTTTTAGAAGGAGAAACTTATGTATTCAAAGTTTTACCTTTTGGTTTGGTTACTGCAGTTGCTAGTTTTATAAGAGGATTGAATAAGGTTTTAGGGTCAGAAGTTGACGATTTTATTATACCTTACGTGGATGATATTCTAATATTTTCACCTAACACCGAGGATCATTTAAAGCATCTGGAGATTCTGTTTAAAAAATTATCCGAGGCAGGAATGACAATTAAACTTTCAAAATCAAAATTTAATAGGAAAGAAATGGAGTTTTTGAGGCACTTGTTGTCTGCAGAAGGTATTCGAGTAAATGAGAACCGGATCAGTAGTATTCAAAACTACCCTGTTCCTCGAAATGTGAAGCAGTTAAAATCTTTTTTTGGTATTAATTATGAAAGAAGGTACATTCCAAATTTAAGTGAAATTTTGGTACCTCTTCAACGCCTTTTAAAGAAAAATTCTAAATGGAAATGGACTTCGATAGAACAAGAGAGTTTTGATTTAGTGAAAAAGAAATTTGGGGAGTTAGTTCTTTTAAGACATCCAAATATGGAAATGAATTTTTTCGTGCAAACTGATGCATCAGATTATGCATTAGGGAGTTGTCTGTTTCAGAAGGATCCTGAGACGGATGAAAAATTTATTATAGCTTTTTATAGCAGGTCACTCAGAGAAGCCGAACTTAATTATGATATAACCGAGAAAGAAGCACTCGCGGTAGTTGTGTCTCTTCGCTTCTCTACATTCTTGTTAGGGCAGCGTATAACGATAATTACCGATCATCAAGCTTTAACCTTTTTGAAATCATGTAAGTTGTTAAATTATCGATTAACACGTTGGGTTCTTTATATTCAGGAGTTTGATATTGATATCTGTTATATCCCCGTTCGTAGTAATCAAATAGCGGATAGTTTGTTTAGGTATCCTTGTGATAGTGCTAATTTTCCCAGAGTTAAGGATAGAACTATAGAATTAGCTCGGTTTGATTGGATTGAAGTGTGCGCAATCAAGTTGACAGAGTTGGAGAAAAAGGTAAAAATAAATTTTAAGACTCTGAAAGTAGATCAGGAAAATGATTCTTTTTGCAAAAAAGGTACTTGATTCATGAGGGATTACTATTTCGGCGTACCCCTACAGGAGATAGTCGACTATGTATTCCTAAGTGTCATATTCTTGATTTAGTAAAACAAGAACATATTGATAATGATCATTTTGGTGTTGAAAAATGTTCTTTGATGTTAAGTCGATGGTTTTATTGGCCAAGATTTTGTAAAGTTATTCGTCAAGTATTGGCAGGGTGTGATCTTTGTCAAAAGAGTAAAATTTCTCCTAAATGTCATGGTAAGCAGTATAGTGTGTTACCTAACCAACCTAGAGATTTAGTTTGTCTAGATATTATGGATCCTTTACCTAAGTCTAGAGGAGGTGTTACATATTTGTTGGCCGTGATCGACGCGTTTTCTAAATATGCGTTAAAAAAATGTACTAGTCGAAGTATTTTGAAATGGTTAGTAAATGATTATTTTCCAAGAGTTGGGAAGCCTCGCGCTATATTATCGGATAATACTACGTATTTTTGCAGTAAACTTTGGAAAAAACTTTGAAAGATAGTCACATTAAAGAGATACATTCAAGTTCTTATTTCCCCGAAGGAAATATGACGGAGCGAATAAATAAAGAAATTGGTCGATTAATGAGGGCTTATTCCCACGATTCTCATGGTAAATGGGCTCATAAATTGAAAGAAGTGGAAGGATACTTAAATAGGGTTATTCATGGTTCCCCGGGATATTCTCCTGAAGAATTACATTTTGGTCGTGAGCAGACGTCTAGGGTTGTCACGGGTATTTCTTATCCTCATCCTCCGTTAAGAATCGAAAAGCGGATAGAAATAGCGAGGAAGCGTTTACGAACAAAAGCTGAGAAGAGGCAGTCTCGATATGTCGGTAGGAAGGAAACAAATTTTAATGAGGGGGATAAAGTTCTTGTGTGAAACCATTTACAGTCTTCTGCTGAAGAACATCAAATTAAGAAATTTTTTCTGATATACAAGGGTTCTTGTACGGTTGTTCGAAGATATGAAAATAATTCCTATCTTATTGAGGAAGATGCTACGGGTCTTTCTTTGGGAAAACACAATGTGGTGAATTTAAAACCGTATTATATGGATTTAGATGAATTATAGATAAACTGTTTCAGTTTCTAGTATATAAGTTGTAGTAATTTAGAAAATAGTTTTGGGTTATTGGTTTTTCTCAAATTAAAAAAAAAAAATTTAAATTTAATTTTTAGTATTATTTTTCGTTTTTATTTAAGAAAAAGAGGGGGTGATGGGCTAGATCCCGTCATTTGAACCACCCTTTTTATTCTTGTCATTAGTTTTAAGCATTAGACCCAAGAGAACTGAGATGTTGTGTGTGTTGCGGCAGTGGTGGGGCTGAAAATAGGGAAGTGGGGTCAAGTAACTGTGTGGAAAGGGCGAGGCGGAAAAGGTCGGGGATGCGAGAGGGGAGATAGGTGGTTGTCCGAATAGAGCGGACGTAAATTTCCAGCTTTACCTGGTAAAACGGGTACGATTTCGTAAGATCGGAGAGAAGATTGGGGAGCACAGCGTAAAGGTTTTGGATAGGGGACTGTTGGATAGCATAGGGCAGTCAACCCCAAAAGTCCAAAGTTTTATGAGTACCGTGGAGGAGATACGGGATTGCTGGCCCGCTATCTGTGAGTGAGAGGAGTTGAAGAAGAGTTTGTTTAACTAGTATCCAGACCAACTATTGCATTTTTGGGAAGGTGCGACTAAGAAACACAAACAAGTGAGTAGTTACTTTATTTTGCTGATGGACATCGAAGAGTATTGTAGTGCTTGTGAAGTGGTTTTCGACTAGAGTTTGAACAAAAGTTCTTTTTTGATTTCGTTTGTATTATGTATTGGTCTACAATAAAAAAGTAGCATTAGTGTACAATAAGTCTGTTTTTTTTTCTCATTTTCTTTCCGAGAAAAGAACCTCCCTGGAAAAGAGTCTAACTCAAGCTGTCCGACTTAACACACTCATAAGGCAGAGAACCAAATAAAATTTTTTGTAAAAACGAAACACTATTCATTTTAATAACTATAATATCCATAGACGCTTAAACAAACATATTCACACGTGCCGCTCATAGAAATAAACCACCGCGTACCACGTACGAAATATTATCGCATTTACTATTTACTGCAGCAGTGGCTGTCGTTGTTGCAGCCACAAAAGCCCATATAAAAGTGTACTGGGTTACGTGCCTGATTAGCCAATAGAAACAAAGGACGCATCTAACTGTTCGCTGTGCACACATTTTGTATATGAGGTTGCATATATTAAGGAGCATATAATAATATAAGCTCCTAGATTTATTTTAGCACGAGTACATTTGGATTTTTTAAATATTTTGTTGATATTTCATATGATTAAATACATAAAATTTTATGTGTTCTGCTGCTCCGCAACTCTTATGGTAAAACCGCCACTGATGATGATGATGATGATGATGATGATGATCATAATAATAATAATAATAATGATAATGATCATGATCATGATGATAATGATAATAATAATAATTATTATTATAGTAATAATAAAACAGAAAACATTCCATTTACATGACAAAATAAGTAAATAATTATAATATAAGCATACTACTGTACAGTAAATAAAGAAAACAAATAAATAAACTTTATCTAATATTGAAAATTATTGAAATAATCGGACGCAATTCTTAACAAATCATTAATATTACAATGAAATAAATCACACTGATAGATAGATAAAGCCTGAGAATCAACCATGCCATGAAACAATTTAAATAAAAAAGATAAACTTGCAACCACCCTTCTAGTATTCAGCAACTGCATACTGAATCTTTGTAACAGTAATTGGTGGTTGTATCCCCTGTCGGGATAAAAATTGTCAAGACGAAAAGACGAATTTGAGAAAACGCTGTATTCTTGGCGTGGTTACTGTATATCTGATAACATGGGTGGCAAATAAGGCTACAATATTCGAGTTTTGAACGTACTAGCGAATATTATAGACTCTTCAATGCACCTATATCGGTAAAAGATTTTGTACTTATAACAAAGTCGAGCATACTATACCCGGATTTAATACTTGAATTAATATGATCGGCAAAAGACAATCTGCTGTCAGACATTACACCAAGATCCTTAATGTTCTGAAAACGAGTTAAAGGTGACATACCTATATTATAATCAAATATGAGGGGCTGATTTTTAAGAGTAAACGTATACACTTTGCATTTTTTTGTGTTAACAAGTAAATAATTATCAGTACACCATATATAAACATGGTCTTGCAATAACAATCAGCCACAGATGATATTATATTCAAGAACAATTTCAAGTCGTCGGTAAACATAAGATGATTTGACTTTAATGTTAGAGATAAGTCATTTACAAATAATATCAAAAGAAGTGGCCCCAAGTTAGAGCCCTGAGGTACTCCTGATTCCCCATTAATAGTATTCGACTTGAAACCATTTTAAGAGACATACATCTTTCGATGATACCTATATCATCAATTCTTACCTAAAGAATTGAAAAGGTGAAACCATACCGTTCCAACTTATGTAGCAATATACTATGATTAACCTTGTTCTTAAAGCCTTTGAGAAGTCTTTGTGACATCAACTTGCCCTTTGTATATTGTAAACTCGGCCAGAGTAAATAAAGTTGAACGATTCGGAAAAAACCCATGCTGATTTGATGATATGTACGAGTTTAAGCTATCTAATATTTGTTTCTACAGACACATCTCAAAGACCCTTGCAATGTTATATAGCAGTAGGGCAATCATTTCTTACATCCACAAGGTTACCGCTTTTTAAAATTGGACACATTCTTCCACCTTATCAGGAAATCCGCCAGTTGATAAAGTAATATTGAATAACATGTTATGTGAAATATCCAGGTTAGAATTTTGAAAAAATTTTTTCTCGAAAACTGGCTTCAACCGCATAAAAATAACTTCAGATTCGTGTTTAGCTATGGCAGCGAAATGAGTGGCCACTATTCTTACTGCCACAGCAGAACAAAATGTAAGCAACCTCGGCTCTCTATTGCCAATTTTAAACAGCGATCTAGGTCACCGTTAAATGTTGCGGCGACTTCAAAGTCACTGTCACCAGTCTACCGGTGACTTGAAAGTCACCGCTTGAAAGTCGCTGTTAACCTCATCACTAATATTTGGGATATCTTAAAAATCTTTTTACTTTATTTTGAATATATTAAGTTAACTCAAAAATGTTTCTAAAAATCCTATCAAATAAAGAGGAACCATATTTTTTGATACCAAAAATTTAGATATGCAAAAGATATCTAACTTCATAGAAACTGACAATAAGTGTTCAATTTTAATTCAATAAACCACACTTTTTAAATAAACCCAAAAAAAATTAAATTGGTTTAAATCTGGACAACATGGAAGCGAAGCCATATCTTTGAATATTATCAGTTTAGCCACTGAAATTGATTTTATTGGAATTCTTTTTTATCTGATATACTTGCTCTGAAAGACAAAGTTTTCCCCAAAACGGAGCATTTAAACAAAAATTTACAAGAGATAAAATGATCGAAAGAAAATTCTACGTTTGATATTTCAAGAAAAAGCTTCATAGGCGTACTTAGAAATAATTGGAGGGGATAAAGGGTACTGCATCCCTCAGTTACCTCCATTCGCCCTTCGATTTTTTCACCAAAATTACATGATAAATATGACGGAATAAGATAAAAGTATGTGCAAAATTTCAAGTGTGTATCTTACAAAACAATGGGATTAACAAAAATAGTTTTTTAAAATGTAACTCTAACACCCTGCATATTGAAACAAGGACGCCCAAATAAAAAATGGCATAAGGAAAGTCGCATTATTTTTTTCCAAAGAATATGAGGTTAATGGTATGGCCTTCTATTTTGGGAGATCTGACGCCATGCAATTTTTACCTTTGGGGGTTTGTAAAGGATCGGGTGTATGTGCCTCCGCTACCAGTTGACCTAAACGACCTACGACATAGGATTGAGGCTGCAGTTGCATCAATTACTCCAGACACACTGAGCAACGTTTGAGATGAACTCGACTATTGACTCGATGTGTACCGTGTAACGGAGGGTGCTCATATTGAACACTTGTAGGACAAACTGTTTGAGTTGCTCGTTCATTTGATATATAATTTGTAATAGTAAGGTCAGTGTAATAGATTCTACAAAGCTTTAAAACCCTGATATTCATTTTGGTACGCCCTGTATTACTATTTAACAGCATTCATAAAATTTTTCATCATTCTTATGATAATTTTTCATGCAAAGCTTTATATCCCTATTTAAACAAGTCATATTACATTGCATTCTTATATACAGGGTGATCCATTAACGGTATCGAGCGGCTGTATATATGAAATTAGACGTGCTACGATTATGGGGTAAAAAATCTATATACAAATACGACCAAAAGAAATTAATTTAAAATATTTTCAAGTTTGTAACTTCACCGCTAGAGGGCGCAACTGCTATAGTGTTACAGAAAATTGTAGGTTTTTCGTAATTTCGCTTATATAACCTAAGTTGAAAATATATTTTTTAGATGCACTGTTAAACCCTTCACAAGTTTTGTTTGAACTTTTTTTTTTTGTTATTACCATAGCAACGTCAGTATGAAGGACGGTATCTTGAAATTTTTAAATTGTCTTAACTTCTAATGGATTTCAATAAACGATGGCTCATTTTAAAGAACTATTAATAAAATTTAGTTTTATGATATAGGAATGAAAATATTATTTTCCTGCGCAGCGGTAGACGACGCTAATGAGAAAAGTTTTGTAATTGTGTCCGTTTACTAAAAAAATTAAATGCAACAATATAGGTTTCTTTTCATGGCTTGATAGACCATTAACAGTGTATCTAAAAAATGTATTTGCAACTTAGGTTATATAACCGAA